AACGTGATTCTGAACATCAAGCATGTGCCTGGATCCCCGAGATCTCATGTTCCCATTAACATCGAATCCCATGGGATTCTGGATCCACCCTCTAAGTCCGGTGACATGTCCGCTTGAGAGAGAATGGGAAGACGTCGGGGAGTGGGATTTTGTACCCACCTGGGGCGGGCCGTAGCCTTTTTGGAAAAATGTGTGGGCAGAAACCTGTTACTTATTTAAATGGAACCAATTTATAACGAATCTAGAATGACTGCAAAGAAAACATAATTTAGATGCTGAAGTGGGTGTGCAGGTGGTTTCAAAGTGGGTGTGTTGGTGTGAAGGGTAGAACGAAAAACTACTTGCCAAGAGCACTTCCACTTCCCATTTTTGTTCTCTCTGGTTTTCGCCCACTCCAATGTCAAGTTTGGTGAAAAGAGTGATTTGTTCTATCTTTTTATCATTGATACTAACGCATACCCTGGTGCAAGGTCAAATTCGACAAAGATCACTGGGTCCATTTCAATTTGTCCGCGGTGTCAAATATCACCAAGTCCATCTCAGTTTGTCCCCGGTGTGGGTGACAAAGACACAAAAGTTGATCACGTGTTGACGGTCAGGGAATGCGTACTCATCATGAACCGCACCTGTAGGTAACTCCTACAGTACCTCGGCGTTATGACAGCAGTAACATCTGTATTTCCCATTAAGTCTCTGCACTGCTGCGCAAATTGAAACCTGGAATATCATTTTACTGAAGTGACAGCAGAATCCCGGATCCGAGATAATCTTTTGGCAGGAAAGATCCAATCTTTCGTAGCAGTCCTTGACAAAATTTAAGAAATTCCAAGCTACCAGACCTTCTCACACAATTTCAGAAGCATTCAGGAAATAAAAAGATCCGTCCATTAAGTTTAGAAAAAGGATACAAGATCCTGGAAGATCCTTGAATTTTTTTAGTGCTTAGGATTCCAAAGATCATGGATGCAGATCTTAGGGCATCTGATCCTCGGTGGTTCTGGGAATATTGGCACGTACCTGGTGGTAACCAGAGCTGCCAATTAGATTGCAATTTTTTTGAAATTTTACAAATTTCCAAAGTCCGGGCTGGAAATTGGAACATCAGGAGCAAACATCTTTGGAATTTTGGGACAGGGGATAACATTCTGTCGCGTTGTAAATTGGTATGTATGCCAACTAATGTGAGGCGGCTTGTTTTTAATATGGTTTTATTCTGGGACAGAACGAGTTGTTGATAGAACCTACTTAAAAACCAATGTTTTTTAATATGATATAGAAGGTTTCTTTCATCAAGGGCATCGATAGAAAGGACCGTCCGGCTGAGTTACCGTCGACAATCTCAGTGACAGGAAATCTTAGCGAACACCGATGTGAAATGCGAACTGTGATGTTTTCACGAAAGCCTGTGATACACATTTCTTACCTGCAATCGTTTTCTCTCTTTCGTGTTATTCCAGTGAGGGAGTAAAGCGACGCGAGTGCGACCGGGTTATTGGTTAAGGTATTGCTTATTATGTGTTATATATATATATATATATATATATATATATATATATATATATATATATGTATATATATATATGGAGATTTATATAAATAAACTTGAAAGTTTTTAGTCAACACGGTTTTTTGGATACTTTTTGTGCAAACGGCTGGTCCGTCTGGAGATTTTTGGATTGAAGTTTGGACGAGAACTCTCAAAAGATTTCGAAACAAGAGAGTAAACCCTGTCGTGAGTTCAGACTGCACGCCGCGAGTACGTCGGAATATTGCAGTGCAATGTGAAAACAATATGCATTAGGCGTTCGACTTTCAGAGCAGGATATTTCCGTTAAAAAACTGACTGACTGCTTTTTATAATGGTTTCAAACTTCGTGCACTGAAACAAAAATTTGAAGATAATTCTGCAAGAAGACAGAACGACCAAAGGTATCAAACTGACCCAAGTAACCAAACCACCCAAATAACAAAACCGACATTACTAAAACATTACAATTAGTGTGGTGGGGTTCGAATGAGGACAGCGTTCTGAATGTTCTGAGGCGTTTTTCTGTGGTATCACGCAAAATATGGGGTTTAAGAATATCCCCGGCCTGGTGGGGTCTGTCTGGTAGGATTGTCTTAGACCTGGTGGGATTTGGCAGGTAAGAGTATCCCGGCCTGGTGAGATCTGGCGGGTTAGAGTACCTCCGGCCTGGTGAGATCTGGCGGGTAAGAGTATCCTCGGCCTGGTGGGGTCTGGCGGGTAAGAGTATCCCGGCCTGGTGAGATCTTGCGGGCTAGAGTGTCTCCGGCCTGGTGAGATCTTGCGGGCTAGAGTGTCTCCGGCCTGGTGAGATCTGGCGGGTAAGAGTATCCTCGGGCTGGTGGGATCTGCCGGGTAAGAGTATCCTCGGCGTGGTGGGATCTGGCGGGTAAGAGTATCCTCGGGCTGGTGGGATCTGGCGGGTAAGAGTATCCTTGGCCTGGTGGGATCTGGCGGGTAAGAGTATCCTCGGCGTGGTGGGATGTGGCGGGTAAGAGTATCCCTGGCTTGTGGGATCTGGCGGGTAAGAGTATCCTCGGGCTGGTGGGATCTGGCGGGTAAGAGTATCCTCGGGCTGGTGGGATCTGCCGGGTAAGAGTATCCTCGGCCTGGTGGGATCTGGCGGGTAAGAGTATCCCTGGCTTGTGGGATCTGGCGGGTAAGAGTATCCTCGGGCTGGTGGGATCTGGCGGGTAAGAGTATCCCTGGCTTGTGGGATCTGCCGGGTAAGAGTATCCCTGACCTCGTGGGATCTGGCGAGTGACGTAAGGCCGATCAGGCAGCGTCCTTCAATCACGTAAATTACGTTGGTTTTTTAGATATATTTTTAACTAATTCGGAGTGATTGGAGCAAAGTCGTGTGTCCTGTCTGTACGTAACAATGATCACATTAATTTGTGTGATAAAAATGCACTTCGTATGGAACAGCCGATACATTCGTTACCACAATGAAGACATCCCATGCCTCGAGATCGGGGATGTAGGGCTGTGTGCATATGTGTGTGTAACGGGGTGGGGGTCAGAGAGTGGTTATGGTATAATTTTGGCAAAGTAAGGGTGTACATAGAAAGTGCATAAGAAAGCACAGTTATTCCCTGCGGTGCCCGCCCTTCCTGACAGGGTGAGAGGCAGGCGACGCCATATAGCCTCAGCAGCTGAGTGCGTCGTAAAGCCCCAATCACACACTCACAGAAAGCACAGTTCGGGGCACCCCTCCGTGCCATCCCAAAGTCGGACGCTCCAGCACTGAACGGAGCGCGTGAGCCTCCAGAGGAGCGGAAGGCGAGCTGTGTCAGAGAGGGCTGGCAGACGCACTCAGCGGCCCCGCGGCGCGTGGTACGGCCCGACGCCCTGCTGGCGGACAGCCGATACACCTGAACAGTGCAGCACCTGGCGACGACGGGCAGCACCTGGTCCGTACAGCTGTGTGGCGCCTGTCTCCACGCCGTACACGGCCTCCGGGGTCTCACCAGGGGCGGGATGTGGACCGAGCGGACGCTGCGCTGGGCTCGGTATTCAGTGTCGCTGTTTGCGGACGCTCCCATGCCTTTCATTTGGCGACCGTCATCCTGGGATCGATGACCCAGATTGCTCCTCCACGTAAGCGAGCGTCGAGAAGTTTTCAAATTAAGGCCTGAGTAGAGCGAGTTACAGCGTTCCTCGCTGACGATGAAATAGCGGACGGTATGCGAAAACACGAATAAATGCGGGGAATTACCAGGAGCATCCAACGTCAGGCAAACCCCGTGCAGGGCAGGAGATATTCATGTAGTCATATCAGTGGTTTAGAGCTTCCTGTCTGATGCGGGGTGCCACGTATGATACCAAACGCACGCTGCCTGGGTTTCCGGCCCTGGCGAACGGGTACGGTCCTGGGTTTAGCCGCTCGCGACAGCGCCCCATGTGGGGACAGTTGGCGAAGCCATGGGTGGTGTGTTCCTGTGCTGCCATCGTTACGCCATGGACAAATGCCCTTCACCTTCCTCCCGCTCGCATAATGACTTGATTTCTCCTCGGCCTGTGCGATGATACGGAGTCAGGTTGACACGACTCGATATGCGTATGATGCTCTGATGCGACCCGATCACTTGCGTGTAGGGTGCCAGTGCAACCGACATTGGCGGTGACCGTTGCCTACGGTTGTTAAGTTTCGACGCTGAAGGATTACCGTTATTACCGTGGCATCAGTTCTCATGGGGTGTTTGCCTGTACAGCTGCGCTGGGATATCCGCCTGGCTCGGCCATTTGCCATAGAACGGCGATCTAGCGGAGGAGCTGCGGAACATCGCGTGACCCGCATCAGCTGCGGTTGGACTGGTCAAGCTTTCCATTGCAACCGCATGAAACCGCATGAAACCACAAACCATTGCCTTGACTCGAGCGCGGGATGCAGGTGACAGAACGTTGGATATCTGCCAAATGGGCTCCCTGCAGGCTGTTATTGGCCGGCGACCATTTTACTTGCATTCCGCCGCTCGGCTCGGCAATAGACCACGGGGAGGGGGGGGGGGAAGGGGGGCAGCAGTACACAGCAGTCATTCAAGTCAGGTGCTTCAGACGGGCGCGTGCCATCCCAGCCTGATCGGTGCGGGCGTGGGGCGGGGGCGCGGGGCGCGTTGGGGGGTGATGTGGCGGCGCCTCGCGGGCAGCCGCGCGCCCCCGCCAGCTGCCTGGCGGGTGCGCGGACTGAGCCGCAGCGCTGGTCCGTGCCAGCGTGTGGGCGGCGCGCGGCGCCCGCCGCCGGCCTGTTTGCGTTGATGACGCGGTCCAGGGTGTGGCAGGGGCTGAGAGGGGGACGCACTGCCAGGTGTGAGCGCGTCCTGGTTTTGAGGCGCAGCACTGTGCGGAGCTGGTAATCTCCAGCACACGTTTGCGGCTGGTGGCGTGGGCTGAAGGCGCTGGTCCGCAGTGGTGCGCCGCGGTGGTGTTAGCCCAGGACGCTTGTCCTGAAACGGCACCAATCTGGCTGTTGCAGACGTGCTGAGGCGGTCCCAACGGCGGCGACTCGGTCACCATGACGACGGACATCGGCGTGCCGCGATGGGATCCGGTCACCAACCAGGACATGGGCGACGAGATGGAGTACGACGGGGGCAACTCGTCCTCCCGCCTCTTCGAGCGCTCCCGCATCAAGGCGCTCGCAGGTAACCGCGGCGTTCAGCGACCACCTTCCGACCCGGTGCTGCGACACGGCTCGAAGGCTGTGACCGCTCTGTTGGAGATGCTGATGTCAGAGCCGTGTGCGTTCTGCTGCACCATCGCGATGCCGCGGGCAACTTATCCGAATTAGAAGACTTACCTCCCGCTGACGTTTGTTGTGCTGTGCGCTGTTTGTTGGACACAGCGCGGACTGCATGAAATGCGTGACGTCCCCGCCGTTCGCGGACCCGGTGGCAAGACAACGGCGGCGATCTCGGTCGGCTGCGCGCGGCGACGTCTGCCAGGAACGGCTTAGGTGGGGAGGTGACGTCAGACGCTGCCTCCGCCGCCCGGTGTGACATCAGACGCCGCCTCCGCCTCTGCCGCCACCGCCGCCGCTCGGCGCGGACGGCGTTCAGCTCAGACCAGCCGTGTGACGTCAGCGCCGCTGGCGGCCGTGGCCGATCGAACGCGGCCGGTGGCTGGGCGCGCGCGCTGCGGTCAACAAGCGGCTGGCTGGTGAGAGGCCGAGCTGGCGAGCGGCCCCGCTCGGGCCGCTGGGCGCGAGTCCGCGCGGTCACCGGCGCCCGTATCGCAGCGCGCTGCCCGCCCTATCTGGTTAGCGGCAGCCATGATAACGGCGACGCCGAAAGGCTTGGCGACTGCAGAGCGCTGCTGCCTTACGTGTACCGAATAGGGGCCAGTGCTGCGTCCCGGGCCCCTACCGGACTCCTGGGTTGGGCCTTACGACCCCACTGCAATGCGGCAGTTGCACAACCGCTCTACGGCGTAATCTGTGGACCAGCCCATGTGATTCATGTGTTCAAGGCATGCATTTCGGAGAGTTACACGTCAAATTCTGTGTTGGCGTCGATGAACTCGGCACCAACCGAAGATTATTTCATTACTAAGCGCCGATCTTTTGACCGTTTCTGTATTGCCTAGAGACGTCAGACTTCTTCAACGTGTCGGGTGAAGGTTTTCATGCACGACACGGTATGTACTTGCCGACCTTCGACGCGTGCCTTTCGATCTCGGCGGCGCCGTCAGTACCATGCCTGGTCCATGGACGCGAGAACGTGCGTTCGAGCCTGGGCCGGCCCAAAACTTCTGTACCAGTTCCGCATGGAATGTGATGAATTTCTTGCCACGGGCCGGTACCTGATGTAAATGTTTTGAAGTGTTTTATTTCCTTGACAGCTTTGCGCGCAACTTTGGGATATAACCTCCCCGTCAACTCGAAATTCACTACTGTACCGTTAGGGTCACGCTACGTTCTGTTACAGGCTGCCAAATGTGCTAAGTTATGTTCTACCCCATACTTGAGCATCCAGTAGATCTTTATCATTATTATGACATTACGAACTTCGTTCTACCAGCTTCTAGTCCGGTGCACTGTCTGCGGGCCGCGGACGGGCGGCCGGCCACTCGTGAGGGGCGGCTTCGACAATCTCTGGTACCCCCTGAGAGTGCCAGTCTGACCGCGGACGTCATTGCAGCCATGCCTGATAATGGCCCAGTCGCCGGCGTTCGCGGGTCGAGCAAAGGCTAGATATAGTGCGATAGGATTGTTTGTCGTGGCGGCGCCCGAGCTGGCGGTTTTGCAGAGCGCAGAGCGCCGCCTGCGCTGTCACCAGCCGCAGCCCACGGCTGGTGACTGGGTGCGGCCAGAGCGTGGCCTCCTCAGCAGATGGCTCGCCTGGCGCGGGGGCTCAGCGTCGTAATTGAATGACGCGCCGACTGCGGAGGGCGATTGAATGAGTGCTGAGGGAAATGCATCAGATGGCAGCGGTGACGCGCGCAGCGGCGGCTCACTCGGGCGGCTGGACGGCCGTGACCGGCTCCGTGCGCGCGGACCTCGGCCTGGCGGGCCGGGCGAGCGGCGTCACCTGTCCAGCGGTCACGTCCGCCGGCGCCCACTGGCTGCTGATACGGCAGTAAAACAGCACGATAAGATGAGAAAATAAGCCACTCATGTGGCGGCCCCACTCTTATCCTATATGGTTACAGCTGCCACCACGTGCACTAAAACCACATGTTTACAGCCATCGATGACTCTGCGTTGGTAATGTTCTAGAGCCCGGCCGGTACTGCTCCCGCCGCCCACCATAGTGGTGTTGTGCGTCAGCAGTGCCGGGTCCGTACCGTTGTGCTCCTCTGTCGGCTGTGGCTGCGGGTCGGGCTCGCCGGGTCCCGCCGAGTCCCGCCGGGTCCTGCCGGGTCCCGTTGGGTTCCGCCGGGTCCCGCCGGGTCCTCGCCTGGGGCTGGGCACATTGGCCCTGTTGGCCGGCTTCTGTGTTCTGGCTGGGCTGGGGGCGCGATCATCCTGTGTGCTTGCCGCAGAACGGAACCGAACAACGCTTTCCGGCTGCCCCCCCCCCCCCCCCCTCCCCCCTCGGTCGCTCTCCGCTGTCTGTCTGGTGCTGGGAGTGAGCTGCAGCAGCAAAATGATAGTTTGCATGCAAAGATCGCAGCCAATATCCGAAACAGGAGACGGTCGGCGACGAGGCGTCGCCAGCCTGCTGAGCTGGTGCGGGGTGAGGGACAGACTCCGTCCGGACCGGACCGGCTGCGGGGCTCGCTGGCGTGGTGCGCTCGCTCTGTCTCCGGTGGCCTGCGGGCGGCACGCTCCGGAAAGCCTGACCGAGCCGTCTGGCGGGGCGGGGCCGCGCCGCCGGCCTGAAGCCTCAGGTGGACTGTGCGGTGTGGCCGTGCGGGCGGTGTCCCGCTGTCTGTGCCACACTGTGACTGGGCCCGACACTGTGCCGGCGCCGTCACTGGTGCCGGCTCCGCGCCGCCAGTCGTCTGTTTGCCTAGTCGGTATCAGGGAGTCTAAGCCGGCGCCGTCGCCTATCGCTCAGTCCGACCTGAGAGCGGCCGCCGCCGCTGTGGCGCGCTGGGTCCCCCGTGTCCGCTGTGTCCGCCGTGTCCGCCGTGTCCGCCCGATGGCCCGCGGACATGTGGGACGTGGACGACGTAAACAACATCTACGACCGAATCGTCGGCAGCCGTCGAGGTGCGTGCAGTGTGGCAAGTCTGGGTACAAGGTCGTGCGCCGGGCTGCGGCGCGCGGCGCGCGCTGGCAGCCGCGTCACGAGTGCGGGCGTGGTGACAGCGCGCCTTCCTCCGAGCGCGCGAACCCGATCGACTGCGATGCGGTGGCGGGGCTCCGGCGGCGCCGTGGTTGGCTGCTGTCGAGTCGGGTGTTCGGCCAGCGCTGTCGCCGCCGCCGTCGCCCCGCCCGCCCGCTGTCGTCCGCCGCGCCCGGGCCGGCGGGGGCGCGGCCTTGCGACGGCGGCCGTCAACTGAGCCGCCGATCGATGGTCGGAAGTTGTCTGCCGCCGCCGGAATTCGGACGGCAGACGCGAGGCGGCGCCGAGCCTTCGATTCGCCACTTTGTGGTTGGTTGATTTCAAAATCGGACCGGGAAAAATGGCGTTTGTTTTTGTTGTGATGTTGCGTGCCTCCGTGGACACACCATATCGCGATCCATGTAAGCAGCCAACCCTGAGCGTTACTGGGTCTGTTTCAGGTGAACGAGAGAATGTGCAGAAGAAGACGTTCACGAAGTGGGTGAACTCGCACCTGGTGCGCGTGCAGTGTCGAACGGCCGACCTGTACACCGACCTGAGGGATGGCCGCTACCTGCTCAAGCTGCTGGAGGTGCTGTCGGGCGAGCGGCTGGTGAGTAGGGCCGCGTCGCCGGCGCGCCGCGTCTCGCGCCGGCCGCGTCCGGCCCTGGCCGCGCCCCGGCCCGCAAAGGCCCCGAAATAGAGCCGCCGCCGCCCCGATTGGCCGGTGACGTCACTGGCTCGGCACGGGAACCGGCGGCGTGTTCTGAACCGGCGCGAGCGTGCGGTCTTCACGCAGATTAGCACCTCCCTGCCTTCCACATCACCACATGATTAGTAGTCGTGTCGGCGTTTGCCTGGCATGCAACAGCTCCCGGACTGGCAGTGGACCGGCGAGGTTTTGCCTGGCCTGTTCTGCTGGGAGGGCTCTCCCGAGCGGGCATGGAATCGTCGCAGGAAAATTCCAGGCTCCGCCGTCCTGGTCAACGCTGCGGTCTGTTGGCTCGCTCATTGGACAGAGATGCGTAACACACTGTTGTTTTGTCTCCGAAAGATGTCTGTTATGGCATTGGTAATTACTTGTACTTTGGTGTAGAATGTATTTTAAGCTTTTCAACGCCCATCACCATGGTCACGCAAGCCGTATGTATACATGTTGCTTACAAATGTGCTGGATTTCCGCTGTCTTATGAATGCTGACGGTAACAGTATTTGTCGCCACTTGATCACTGTTTTGCCGTCACTTTGCTATTGTTTATCGTCCTTCTGCCTGTGTTTTTGGTCACTTTCTCACCACTTGTTTGTCTGGCGCTCACGAGAAGTGTATGTCTGAACCGGTGGATTATTGCAATAAAAACAACGGTGCGTCATTTACTCTAGTAGTGTCTTGGGGGCCTGAATATCCCAATTTGTTGTGGGCCTTTCATTTACAAATTACGCGGAAAGTTTCAATATCTTGTTGCTCCTGAGCCGTATTTTCTCTGCCCGCTTTCGCCCTTTGTGCAGCAGAGTAGAAGTGTGGGCTTGGCAAGGGCAAACTGGGCAAGTTCCGGCTTGCGTCTGTTGCGCGGGACCGACTCCTCACATTGGTCGTTTCCCTTCTGCAGCCCCGCCCCACCAAGGGCAAGATGCGGATCCACTGCCTGGAGAACGTGGAGAAGGCGCTGCAGTTCCTGCGCGAGCAGCGCGTCCACCTGGAAAACCTGGGCGCCCACGACGTGGTGGACGGCAACCCGCGTCTCACACTCGGCCTCATCTGGACCATCATCCTACGATTCCAGGTGCGCTCCATCGGCCGACAGCCGCGCTGTGGGGGTTGGAAGCCGAACCTCCTCCCCCTCCCACAGCAGCGGCGCTGTGGGGGTTGGAAGCCGAGCCGCCTCCCCCTCCCACAGCAGCGGCGCTCTGGAGGTTGGAAGCCGAACCGCCTCCCCCTCCCACAGCAGCCGCGCTGTGGAGGTTGGAAGCCGAACCTCCTCCCCCTCCCACAGCAGCGGCGCTGTGGGGGTTGGAAGCCGAGCCGCCTCCCCCTCCCACAGCAGCGGCGCTCTGGGGGTTGGAAGCCGAACCGCCTCCCCCTCCCACAGCAGCCGCGCTGTGGAGGTTGGAAGCCGAACCTCCTCCCCCTCCCACAGCAGCGGCGCTGTGGGGGTTGGAAGCCGAACCGCCTCCCCTTCCCACAGCAGCGGCGCTCTGGGGGTTGGAAGCCGAACCGCCTCCCCTTCCCACAGCAGCGGCGCTGTGGGGGTTGGAAGCCGAACCGCCTCCCCTTCCCACAGCAGCCGCGCTGTGGAGGTTGGAGGCCGAACCGCCTCCCCCTCCCACAGCAGCCGCGCTGTGGGGGTTGGAAGCCGAGCCGCCTCCCCCTCCCACAGCAGCCGCGCTGTGGGGGTTGGAAGCCGAGCCGCCTCCCCCTCCCACAGCAGCGGCGCTCTGGGGGTTAGAAGCCGAGCCGCCTCCCCTTCCTCCCGTAGTGCCCGCGGAGCATGCGCCTGAGTGGAGGAGCGGGAGTCCGCCTGTGTTGTTCAGCTGCGGTGCAGTGTTTAGTGTGTTACGCGCAGTGTGCAGCCATTTGTATGATGCTAAACGTCGTGCGCATGAAAAGGCAAGCTGCTCGCGTGTTAACGCCTTTGGCCGGCCGCCAGATCCAAGACATCACGATCGAGGAGACGGACTCGAAGGAGACGCGCTCGGCCAAGGACGCGCTGCTGCTCTGGTGCCAGATGAAGACGGCTGGCTACCACAACGTCAACATCCGCAACTTCACCACCTCCTGGCGCGACGGCCTCGCCTTCAACGCACTGATCCACAAGCACCGTGCCGACCTGATACAGTACGAGAAGCTGAGCAAGGCCAACCCGATGCACAACCTGAACAACGCCTTCAACGTGGCGGAGTCGCAGCTGGGCCTGACCAAGCTGCTCGACGCGGAGGGTGAGCGCGCCGGCCACGACGAGCCGCCTTGGCTGCCACCTTCGGCAGCGGCGGCAGTCAGCCGTCAGATGATGGGTGGTGCCAGTGTTGATGGGTGTGAGTCAGGTCTCCCCCAGAGGAAACGTACACTGCTGCTGGTCCCCACCAGGGTGGCGATACTTAAAATGGTAGAGGTCTTGGTATGTGACGCTGTTGCCTTGATGCAACGACGTTGATAAATGTACGTGTTTTTGGGATGGGTGGCTGATGTAGCCACTTCTGTTCACTCTACCCGTTGTTTTTCTTTCGACCCTCCTACTTTTCGTATGTCGCTGTGACCAATATGGGATTCCCGCAGACGTGTGCATGGAACAGCCGGACGAGAAGTCCATCATCACCTACGTGGTCACCTACTACCACTACTTCTCCAAGATGCGCGCCGAGACGATCCAGTCCAAGCGTATCGGCAAGGTGGTCGGCACGCTGATGGACAACGACCACATGGTGCACGAGTACGAGAGCCTGACGTCAGAGCTGCTGCGCTGGATCCGCGAGACCATCGAGCAGCTGGGCCAGCGCCAGTTCGCCAACTCGCTGCGCGGCGTGCAGGAGCAGCTCGTCCAGTTCAACTCGTACCGCACCGTCGAGAAACCGCCCAAGTAAGTTGTGCGACCCGGCCCGGGCCGGCCCGGGTGCGTCGGGCGGGCCGTGAGCTGCCGCGCTCATCTGGGCTGGCGCCCTCACGCAGTGATGGTGCTCATCCCTAACGCCGTTCGTGTCCTCTCGCGGCGTGGTGACTCAGCCCTGCGGGGTGCGTCGTGTGTGAACTGGTGGACTGAACCGGCCGGGGTTGGCTGGCCCGCTAGTGACGCCCGCCTCCGTGTGCCCCGTCCAGGTTCGTGGAGAAGGGCAACCTGGAGGTGCTGTTGTTCACCCTCAAATCGAAGATGCGCGCCAACAACCAGCGGCCATACACGCCGCGCGAGGGGCTCATGATCGCCGACATCAACCGGGCATGGGAGAAGTAAGTCTTTCGACGCCGACGGGATACGTCCGCTGAAGTGTGCAGGGGACTACACGGTGCAAACATTCTCGGCATACATTTCCAGTCGTAGATCGACTCGCGAGCTCAATGGAGTTAAGAGTTTGCCATAATAGCCGGGCCGTCTATTCCCGTCACCTAATGTTTCCTCGACGATGTGCACAGCATAGGCGGTGTGACCGCTTTTCCCCCTAATCTGCTAATCTCTGTCAGTTTCCCCATAATCCGCGGTGGACTGATATGTGCGAGCCGTCCTGGCTGTGACCGCGGCCTGACTCTGTTGGCGCTGTCGCGTTCGTACCCCGCCGTGCCGCCCGTCTGACGGCCGCCGTGCGCAGGCTGGAGAAGGCCGAGCACGAGCGCGAGCTGGCGCTGCGCGAGGAGCTGATTCGCCAGGAGAAGCTGGAGCAGCTGGCCGCCCGCTTCGACCGCAAGGCCGGCATGCGCGAGACCTGGCTGTCGGAGAACCAGCGTCTCGTCTCACAGGTCCGTGCGCCCGCCCCGCCTCGCCCCGGAGCAGACCGGGACGCACTAAGCAGCGTTCTCTGTTGACCAGCCTGTTCTTCACGGGTGCCACGGTCCGAGATTATTGCTTAGTTGCGACATTGTGCTAAGGGTGATGCGATATATTAAAGTAGTATTTGCACTGGCCTGGGACAGAGCATGGTGGTTGGTGCGCTGTGTGGCATTTGTTTTGAAGCAATGTTCGATGGCGTATTATTTTCACCGGACTGCGATGTATTCAGCAGACGACTCAGCGCTGGCGCGGCGCTGTTGGTGATAGCACCAGCGGCGCTGGTGGGCGCACGGCAGCGCTGGCGCGGCGCGGCGCGGTTGGTGATAGTACCAGCGATGCTGGTGGGCGCACAGCAGCTCTATCGTGGCGCGATTTGTGGTGGTGCTAGCGGCTGGTGGGCGCATGGCAGCGCTATCGTGGCGCGATTTCTGGTGGGACGAGCGACTGGTGGTGTAAGGCAGCGCTGGGCGCCGCTGTTTTGACACGATGCTGTCTGCGGCAGGACAACTTCGGCTTCGACCTGACGGCCGTGGAGGCGTCCGCCAAGAAGCACGAGGCTATCGAAACCGACATTCTGGCGTACGAGGAGCGCGTGCTCGCCGTGGTGGCTGTGGCCGAGGAGCTGCAGACGGAGAACTACCACGACATCGAGCGTATCAACGCCAGGTACGGCCGGTTCGCGCGCCGTATTATGCTGAACAGCGCCTCACGGCTGGGGCTCCAGCTACCGGCTGGCACATGTGCTGCCATGTGCCCGTCCTGCCCTCCTCTCGGGCGTTAGTCTGCGATGCTGGGGTTCATGGTGTGACTGTCGGCTCCGGAGCCGGAGTCGAGTTCGCCCTGTTGACTTCCGGCAGCGGGGTGGTTCGTGTCCCGGTGTACAGACGTGTCAGCCCGGTATCAGTCCGGGTTCGCCCTTGTCTCGGTATACAGGCGTGTCAGCCCGGTACTCGGAGTCTGAGACTGGGTCTGGCCGCGTCGGCAGGAAGGACAATGTGCTGCGCCTGTGGAACTACCTGCTGGAGCTGCTGCGCGCCCGACGCATGCGCCTGGAGCTGAGCCTGCAGCTGCAGCAGAACTTCCAGGAGATGCTCTACATCCTGGACAGCATGGAGGAACACAAGATGCGGCTGCTCTCCGACGACTACGGCAAACACCTGATGGGCGTGGAGGACCTGCTCTCCAAGCACGCGCTGATCGAGGTGAGGCGCGGCCGGCGAGCGGCGCCGGCAGCCCACCGTCCCCTATCGCCGCTCACCAGCCGTCGGTTGCGGTAGACGCCACTCCGGCACGGCCCTCTGATGAAGCGTCTCTCCATCCGAGTGCTTCCTTTCGCCGAGCGATGAAGGATGTCAATACCGTCGTCTGGTACAAGACTGGTTAGCGGTGTGAACGATACAAATTGCACGTCTAGTGACACAAATCTGGATTTCGATCTGGCTCCATCTCGCTGCTCGTCATGGCGCCTGTATGTACGCTAGTGATCAGACTGCTCGCTCGGCGTGCGTCAGATCAGACGGCTCGCTCGGTGGGCGGGTGGCGCGACGTCGACTCCGCTTCGCCCTCTGACCCGTCCGTTCGCTGTGCCGGCAGGCCGACATCAACGTGCTGGGTGAGCGCGTCAAGACGGTGGTGCAGCACTCGCGCCGCTTCGTGGACGAGGAGACGGAGGAGGGCTACCGGCCTTGCGACCCCGCCATCGTGGTGGAGCGCGTCCAGCAGCTGGAGGTACGGCCGCGCCCCGGCCCCAGCGCACTCTGGCCGGGGCGGCTCGGGTATTGGCCTTTTTAATGCAACGACCGGTTACGGTCATTCGGCGGCTACAGAGGCTGTGTGTTGACTGTCGTGGCATCAGTGCGGACCACTCCGAACTGTCAGATGCCTTCTCGCTTGACCTGTGAAACATCCATTGGAGGTCTTCACGAGCGGTGACGACGGCAGCAAATCGTCTGGTACTGTCGCTGTTCTACGAGCAATGTTTTACGATCGTTGCTTGTCAGTTGTGTTGAGGCCCTCAGTCTATGTCAGTTTTGTTCCCACGCATCCGAGCAGTAAAGGTATCGACGTGTGTGCTATCGAACGTTGCGTTGGGTTTTCCTTCAAAGACATGATCGTGACTGTGTGATTCCGAGTGGGTGACGTGACGAGGTGACGTGCCTGTATGGGTCCGGTGACGCGAGCGCCTGCGTGTGACGCACCTTGCGCTCGCGCGCGGACGGGTGGCGCACGGTCGTGTGACGCGTGCACTGGACGCGGCGCCGGTGCGGCCACTGACGGGGCGGGCGGCCGGCCAGGACGCGTACGCCGAGCTGGTGAAGCTGGCGCTGGAGCGTCGCTCGCGGCTGGAGGAGTCGCGCCAGCTGTGGCAGTTCTACTGGGACATGGCCGAGGAGGAGAACTACATCCGCGAGAAGGAGAACATCCTCAACGCCGCCCACATCGGCAACGACCTCGTCACCGTTCACATCCTGCTCGCCAAACACAAGGTGAGCACGTGGCCGTTGGTCACCTTACCCCAGCGGGTTGCGCCTGGTCACAGGACGGCAGCAGCTGAGTTGACACCGCAGCTCCAGCTGGGCGTGCAGCGGCAGGGCGGCGCTGATGCGCTCTCCCGCCGGTGTGGGGTAGGGCTGCAGAGGCGGCGATCAGAGCTGACAGGCGGCCGGGACGCGGTGTGCGGGCGTGTGCCGACCGGGCTAGCCTGGGACCCACTGACCGGCGGCCGTGGCGACCGGCAGGCGCTGGAGGACGACCTGGCGGCGCACGAGTCGCAGCTGCTGGCCATCACCCAGGTGGGCGACGAGCTGGTCAACCAGGGCCACTTCGGCGCCGACCGCATTCGCGGCCGCATCGACGAGATCGTCGACATGTGGAACCGGCTGAAGGAGCGGGCCGAGCGCCGCCGCCAGCAGCTGGAGCAGGCCATCGGCTACCACCAGTTCTTCGCCGACGCCGACGACGTCGACACCTGGATGCTGGACACGCTGCGCCTGGTGTCCTCGGACGACGTGGGCGGCGACGAGGGCGGCGTGCAGAACCTGCTGAAGAAGCACAAGGACGTGGACGACGACATGAAGAACTACCAGCAGACGATCGAGCAGCTGCGTGGCCAGTCTCAGGAGATCGGCCCCGAGTACCGCGAAAACCCCGAGGTCAAGGACCGCGTCGACAGCATCGACAACAGGTACCCGCGCGCACTGAGTCGTAGCCATCGGCGAGGGGCCAGCAGCCGACACCTAGCCAAACACACTATGTTCGTCTGTAGATCGCCATGAGTAGAAGTTGTCATCCTCTGGAAGGAGGCCTTACAGCTATGCACTGAGTTTTCCGCGACCACCAATCGTTGTGGTGCCGGCGCCTATGCTGTGGAAAAGCAGCAGTGGTTGTGCCCCTTGCCGCCAGGTACCGCGAGCTGAACGAGCTGGGACAGCTGCGTAAGCAGCGCCTGCTGGACGCCATGTCACTGTACAAGCTGTTCTCTGAGGCACAGCGCGTCGACCAGTGGATCACCGAGAAGGTAACGCGGTGCCAGCGTTGTCCCAGGCAGCTGAGGCCTGAAGGGCTACTCACGAAAATCTCTGGGGCTATAGCGATTTGGTATATGTATGTCTCTGCAGAGACGTATCGATCTTGTTATATGTGTGTATCAGATCTCTCCAACTTAATGTGTTCACGAAATCATTACTATTGGCCGTATTCCTTGCTGATGGATATTGATATTTCCGGCTGCAAATGTTGTCAAAACAGTACATTGATCATCCAAACAAATTCGAAGTGAATCAAAGGTGGATCTGAATCCAGTGCACAATGAATCTGATGTGAATCAGATCTGAATGAATCAATGAATCTGAGTCCAATGACCAGAAGCCAGTAGTGTGTGTTGTGGAGCAGTGTGTGCCCTCGGGTCTGGCTTCCGGTTGACCGCTGCCCCCCCCCCCCCGCGGCAGGAGCGCATGCTCCACAACATGGTGCCGGGAGATGGGCAAGGACGTGGAAGACGTGGAGATCCTCAAGCACCAGTACGAGGGCTTCGACAACGAGATGAACGCCAACGCCAGCCGCGTGGGCGTGTGTGAACCAGCTTGGCCAAGCAGCTGCTGCAGGTGGAGCACCCCAACAGCGAGGAGATCGTGGCCAAGCAGAGCGAGGTGATGATCGGCGACGCCCCTCAGTCCGCAGGCCTATACGCCCGGCCCTGACGGACGGCGCGGCGTACCGTGGGTCCAGCCGTCCAGTCGACGAAACCCGGCTTTGAGCGCTGTTGCTGGACAAGCGCAAGGTTAGATCTAGTTCTGACAGTGCCGCTACACTGCAGTTCGTTTCACGTCAGCGGCTCAGCTGGCCGGTGTGGTCGTGGTGGTCTCGACTGTCCGTGGGCTCGTGATGGGCGTGGGTTGTGACGGTTGGCTCGGAAGCCTCAGCGCGAGCCGTGTGCGGGTCGTGGCCACCGGGACGCGTCGTGTCAGTGCACCACCGGCCGGCGATGCGCCTCTCGCCTATGACCGCCCCGCCATACGTGTCCACAGCTTAATGACAAGTGGTCGACGCTGCGCGAGAAGGCCGAACAGAAGAAGGAGGAGCTGGAGAGCGCACACTCCTACCAGACGTTCCACATCGAGATCCGCGAGACAGTCAGCTGGATCGAGGAGAAGACCAAGCTGCTGCACCAGACCGAGGGGCTCGGCTCGGACCTGGTGCGTGCTGAGCCAGGCGAGCCCTGGCCTCGGTCAGGAGATGGTAGCCTTGCGCGCCAGCCTCCACACGCCCTCCCTATGTTCGTTGTGTCCGTGTGCGCGGTTCATGTAGGATACGACGAACATTTGTTGTATCCACTTTGTTTTCAAGGCCGGCGTCGATCGCGTAAGAAGTTGCCGTATAAAGTGCACACTAGTGGATTGTTGCGAGACCCGCGCGTGTTTCATTTGTGAGCGGCACCTTGAAGTGCGTGTTCGCCGGCCCGTGCTCGCCCCGCGCTGGTGGCTCTGCCCCCGGATGCGCTGGCTGCTGGTGGCTGACCCCGACTCTGTGCCGGGCAGGCTGGCATCATGACGCTGCAGCGCAAGCTGAACGGCATGGAGCGTGACATCGCAGCCATCCAGGCCAAGCTGGACGACCTGGAGCGGGAGGCGCAGCGCATCGAGCAAGAGCGGCCGGACGAGGCGGCCGAGATCAGCGCAACATCAGCCAGCTGCAGGAGGTACGGACGCGCTCCGCCGGCTGGCGGACCGCCGCCACCGCCGCTGTGACCCCCGACAGGCTCCGAGACGCTGCGGTCTGCCTGCTGACAGCGCAGTTATAGGTAGTTGTAGGTGTTGGTGCGTGGCAATGACAGTGCTCGGGGGGAGGACATTGCGGTGTGAGTGGGCTGTGTCGGTTGTCGGATTGGGCCGGGTTCGCGGGCTCCTTGCCAGTTACTGTTTTAGACGCGGCGTTGCTCGGATTGGTGCACGTCTTGACGCCGCGTGTCGGGTCGGCAGCCATGGAAGGAGATGACGGAGCTGCTGAAGGAGCGCTACTCCAAGCTGGAGGAGGCCGGCGACCTGCACCGCTTCCTGCGCGACCTGGACCACTTCTCGGCCTGGCTCACAAAGACTCAGACGGACGTGGCTTCGGAGGACATTCCGCAGTCGCTGCCCGAGGCTGAGCGCCTGCTGAGCCGTGAGTGGACGGGCGCCGCCGGGGCGTCATCCGGGGCCTGCTTGCTATGACTGCCCTGAGCTGTGTTTTCAACTTAAGTTTTCTCTAATTTTTTAGACTTTTGTCTTGGAAGGCACGGGTGGCGCTCGTTTTGAGTTTTTCGTTTCTCTGAGCTTTCAACTTTCAGCGTGAAGTAGCAGATGAGGTGCGACTGGAAAATATAAGAGTGGCAGCATTCGGCTTCATGTGCGTTGTGTACAGACGTCAGGTTTGCCGTCGAGACGAGCGTGACGGGGCGCAGCGGCCGGCCCGCCGGTGACGCGTCGCCTGTCGCCGCCAGAGCACCAGACCATCAGGGAGGAGATCGACAACTACAACGACGACTACAACTCGATGATGGAGTACGGCGAGCGGGTGACGGCCGAGGACGTGACGCCGCCCGACGACCCGCAGTACATGTTCCTGCGCGAGCGACTGAAGGCGCTCAAGGACGGGTACGTGCCGTGCGTGCCGCGTCCCGCCAGGTCCCGCCGGGCCGCAGATCCCTGGCGTGATCAAAACCAGATGCCAGCTGCCATTCGGGGAACGATGACTTGTTTACCTTTGTTGTCATTGGCAAATCATTGTTGGAATGTACGGATGGGTCTGGTTAGATTTGAAGGTTCGTGGGGGGGGGGGGGGGGGGGGGGGAAGG